TGTATACAGTAACACTGATACAAGTGGGAGTCAAAGTCCTTCAAACCCATCGTGAAACAAGCCACATCAGCAACGTTGGGGTCTGTTTACTGCATTTGGACAGTGACCACTGTGCTTCTTTAGCTATGTCTTAATGATATCTAATGCCGTTTTCTTGATGAGTGGTTCCCAAAGGGAGGTCATGGGAGTAGGAGGTCTGAGTCAGAAAAGACACAGTCACTACAGATAAATATGAAAGCTTTTATGGCTCAGTAGAGGGAAAGGATGTGTGTGGTTTGCGTCATGTGACCTGAACGTCTCATAAATACTCAGTCGTTTGCCCGTTTTTTTAAAATTTGTTTTTGTTTTTTTTGAGTGCATGAAATGCATGAAGTGGTCCACATTGGACCTTGATTTGTACATGTTTTAATAGTTCTGAGCCAAACTGACTGTGTACTGTCTGAGTGCCATAAATTGATGTAATTCTGAAGCAACTTTTTAATTCTTTTGTGTGTTATGACCAGATGTTGTGTGTATGTTTATGCTCTCATCCCCTTGGTGGCTGTCTGACTATTAAAAGGAGAAACTTGCCTGGGTTTTAAATTAATTGCTGTTTTAAATATTCTTACTTTAATAAAAAAAGATGGTAAAAATTAAAGGACCGTGTTGATGTAGTTGGTGAATGCGGTGCACAGTGAAACTCAAGTATTAGTAATAAGCATGCCTGGGTCGCCACTATGGCTCACCTGCTTTAGCTGGAAACCCATCCTATACTGAACGCTGGACCCCTCGCTCTAGGGGCCTGGGTTTGAGTCCACCTCAGACCATTTCCTGCGTGTTGTTCTGCCTCACTTTCATGTCTCCTCTATGCAGGATCCTACTGAATAGAGGGGAGGGGGGGTAATTTATTTAACCAAATAATTTGACTTTATTTTTTTATTTTTTATAATGTACTGAATCCTTTTCATTTCCAAAACTAAACAAAGTGAAGTGTCTCTGTAAAACCACCAGGAGGCAGCATGGGCCTTTTCATGTCACCCTCGCTCTCAGTATGACATCCGTTTCATATCAGTACAGGCACCGATTAACCAGGTTTAAAGGCACATAACAAACACGAGGTTGCAGGTTTATCATTTGTAATAATAATAACAAAAAGCTGTCAGTTTTCTTTAGTTTTCTTCATTTTTCTATTTATTTTTAAGAATTCTTAGAAAATTGCAAAGCCAAACAAGTTAATGGAACCAGTTTCACGTCAACGGGTCAGATATTTCTTGCCTCTTTCTAAATGAACTTTTACTGCTTGAACACAACAGAAGCTGCTTAATTTCTGTTGTTCAAATCATACACTTAAAAAAAAAAGAAATGCAGATTTCCTGACCATGCATTTTAAGCTGCTGCGGGGTTTATTTTACTCTTTTATATCACAACAAATAAGACATATTTCTTGCAGAGGACAAACAAAATGTCCTTTTCATTACCAAGCGGAAGCTAGCGTGACTGCGACTCTTTGTGTAGCTGTAGCTTTCTATGGGTTTTGGGGCCTCAGTTTAAACTCCTAGGACCCGAACTCTTCCACAGCATGCATTTTTAATTTCTCTTTGATATTGGGGCCTGAATGTAAAAACAAAGAATTACCAGATATTTTTTTTTTTTACCTTATTTTTGTTTTTAAGAAAAATAAGAGCCACATATGAGGATATTTGTTTAAAATTTTGATAGAACAGTAGCAGTATAATGTCCTCGTAAGTGGATATCAGGCCCTTGTAGAGCAAAATTGAGTATTTTGGTCTAAATAACCCAAAATGTGATGTCCACATATGTGGACGCCAGGTCCTAGGAGGTTAAATAATAAAAGAAATAGCCATAACTGCCTCCACGTCAGCTACAGTATTCAGAATGTGCAGAATCCTCACAAACTTACAGCTTTCCAAAGAGGCCATTGTAGATCCAAAGTACACTGGTGAACACAATGCACAGCATTTGATTTATTTTCCATTTTTCAGATTTTAAGACACACACACACAAATCTTCTGGTCTCAAACTTTTTTTGTATACAAAACAAAGCTCTGAAACACAAGAACAATTTCTCTGCCACAGTTAAAATATCCATTTAAAGGAGTGAAGAGGAGAAGAAAAAAATAATACAATAACGGCAGAAAAGAGCAGGGAAATTGACTTCGAGCTTTCTTGTTTTTTTTTGTCTTTTTTAAAAGTCTGTTAGTGTGAAAATACAAAACTGTGTAATCTTCCTCTCTCTAAAAGCAGCATCTGTTCCTGTTGTTATGTGTGAAAATGTTTGTTGATTCCTCCCTCAAAGCGTGATAAAATGTTCCATCACTACGCCGCTGTGTGTCTGAATCAATCATGTCTCTGCTTAACTTTGGAACATGTTTATCTTTCGGGAGGGGGGGAGGGGAGGGGGGGGGAAATTTGCCTTTAAGTCGACTCGGCGAGGTTACAGCTGTAACACGGGAGACTTTGAGGTGGCTCATTTACATAACACAGTGGGCCCTCGCGTACTTATTCACGCAGACTTTTTACACAGTTTAGTGAATTTCGGCGAGGCTCGACTCGGCTCTGACATAATGTGACTGAACCATTCACGGCCCCTATCTCTTTAATCCATGTTAAAGTCACATAAAGTCGACATTAGCGTACATTCAGCCTGTTGGTACTGTTGTGTCACACTCTTTTGTACATTTTTCCTCACTTTTTTGTTAAGATTAAAGAGAAGCTGTGTTCATAATTTGACACACTGTGTACATGCCACTATTTCTCTTAAGCGCTCTGTGACTTAACTCGCTATTGCTCGTGGTGAAGATGTGATTCTGCTTTCAGCTCGACTCAACTTGTCAACATTTTCTTCTACCATCGGTGCATTGTCTTATTTAAAACCCAAGAAGCCTCAGTTTTGGGAGTTGAACTCTCTTAAGTATTATTTGATGCCACCCTCCACCTTAAAAGCATATATCTGGTGCTTTTTGCCTGATGAACTCAGATCCACTCAGATGTGGATGTTTTGCATTAGTCCAGTGA